ACAGAGACAGAGAGACAGAGAGACAGAGAGAGAGACAGAGAGAGAGAGAGAGAGAGAGAGAGAGAGAGAGAGAGAGAGAGAGAGAGAGAGAGAGAGAGAGCAGGAATTCCTGGAAAGGGTGAGGCTGGAGGAGGAGTGGCCTGCCTTTATCTACAGCCATCATCTCATCATCTCATCATCTAGTCAACAGGTTAACATCCCAAAGAATCTTTAGTCATTCTCACTTAGCCACTCTTCCATCCTTTGGAAGGAAAAATGGTACAAAGATTCCAGAGTACTACCAGGGTAATTAGTTATACTCCGAACAGGTGGCAAATTCTCTAGTCATAAGTTATAAAGGATCATAGATTTAGAGTTGAAAGGTAATGTAGAGGTCATCAGATCCACCCCTTAAGACACTGAGAACACCAAAGAAGCTGTGCTTTGCCTGAGGGCTCACCAGCTACAAATGTGACAGAACCAGAATTTGAACCAAGACAGGGGTGGGGAACCTGTGGCCTAGGTCTTCTGATTCTTACCTCACTACCTTAGCTTTGCCTTTTATGTTTATTTTTCATAATGATTAATTCTGGTTGAAAGATCCAGATTCAAATGGCAGATAAACTTCAATACTACCTGTAGAATTTCAACAGTATGGATTCAAATCCCATCTCTGATACTTATCACCTGGGTGAACTCGGGCAAGTTACAGCCTCCCTGATCCTCAGTTTCCCCATCTGTTAAAGGACTAGATGGTCTTTAGGGTTCTTCACAGTTCTACATCTATGATACTGTGAACAAATGAGGGACTGGCTGGCTAGTGATGATTGTGACTGCCTATCTGCACACGGCAGACCTTGAGCCATATTCATCCTCTTGCTTTTCTTGGAAACTAATGTTTTAGAAAATTGGAAATAATTTAATGACATAGAATTATTTCTCCAATCTGCAGAGTTGGCAGTATCCATTCTCCTTTTCAGTAGTTCAGTAATGGAGGTAAAATGTTTAACAAGCAAATCAGGTATTTCAGATTTAATTTTTGGTCCAAATCAGAGTACAGAAAGTTACCAAAGGGTCCTTGCTGGAGTTCAAACAGAAATGTTGAATCCTCTGAATACCTAGCTGGTAGTGTGTATGTGTGTATCTCTCTCTCCCTCTCTCCCTGTTACCTTGTAGACATTCCGTACATATTTAGGCATGTTGTCTCTCCAGATAGAAAATACATTCTTTAAGGTCATGAGCTATTTCATTTTTGTCTTTATACTTCTATAAAGTGTAAAGTGCTGCACCTGCTAAGTGCTAGAAGCTTCATACCTACTAAGTGGTAGAAGCTAGAGGTATAAAGACAAAAATGAAATAGTTCGTGCTATTAGCACTTAGTAGGTACCTAACAAACGCTTATTGAGTGATAATGAAGAATTCTACTTAGCAAAATGGTGCTTTTCTCCGTTAAATTTCATGGTATTGCAATCTTCAGAAGTTAAGTTTCTTCCATCAGTCTAATTTTTTTTAAGAGAGGCAATTAGGGTAAGTGACTTGCCCAGAGTCACACAGCTAGGAAGTATTATGTGTCTGAGGCCAGATTTGAACTCAGGTCCTCCTGACTCCAGGGCCTGTGCTTTATCCAGGGCTATGTGTGCCATCTCGTTGTCCCATCCATCAGTCTATTTTAAAACACTTCAGATTTTTTATTTTTTGCACAATAGGGAAGGCACAGTGGAAAGAGTGATGGATTGGGAGTCAGAGGGCCAGGGTTCACATCCTACTTCTGATGACTTGTATGACCTTAGATAAATCACTAATGTTTCTGAGCTTTAGTTTCCACATATGGAAAATTAGGGAGTTGGTCTAGAGGATGTCTGAGATTCCTTCCAGTGCTGAGTCTATGATCCTATGAATTTCAGGGCTATGATTATTTGTGTCCAAAATCACAATAATATTCTTAAAACAAACTTAGAGAACACCAGATTTTCTACGTGGACCTCTGAGCAGTCAAGAAAGCAGAGAGACATTTTTAGTAGGAAACAAATGATTGTCCCAGGCGAAACAAACCATCTAGAAATTTCCACTACAGCTAATTTTTATGAACAGTGTCTGGGTGCAGTACAGGTGATTGAGGTTATGGAAATAGATTGAATTCGGCCAGATGGGAAGAAGGATTAGGTATCAACTCATTCACTTGAAACATTTGCAAGATTAACTTGCTATTTGTAAATAAACTTATTCTGGGAATGATTTCCCAACTATTGGATTATTTAGAACTTTTGCTTTGGTTCTTATTTCTTATCTTTGTGGCATTTTCTGATCAGGACATATAATTGAGTAGAGCCTTAGTTTCAGTGACGTGGTACTCCTTCCACTGGTTTAGATTGTAGCTCCTTCAATACCTTTGCATCCTTTATGACTCTTGACTACATTTTCCCATCAATTCTCCATGGAGGATCTGCCCAACAGGATCTGCCCCTCCTTTCTTTTTACTGTCTCAATTGTCTCAGTGTGCCACTTGGGTTCTCTGTTGTCATGTATTTTCACATATCTAGCTCTTTTCTTCTAGTAATACATAACCTCAGTGAAGTTTTCTCCATTTCTTCTCATGCACAAGTCATGGTTGGCAACATGCTTATGACCACCATACATTGTGCTATTGTTCTTTGGTTTATTTGTCATTTTAATTCTTTGATGACATTCCATGGTCTGCAGCCATAGAGCTTCAGTGGAAGCACATTGGTGTTGAAAACAAGAGCTTTTTATAGCAATAAACAATTTAGGATAAATGAAAAAACTGGTGATTTCTCTGTCTTGGCTTCCTAATAAATTCTGAGCTCTGATGTTTATCTGCATCAACACTCTGTAAGTATGTAACTGCTGGACCAATTTAATGGGATGCTTAATCACTGGGGATATAAATGGGTTAAACTGAAATATTGTAATCTTGTGACTAGCACTTTGCAAATAATAAACATTCAATAAGTATTCGTTGAATAAATGATTGAACACCTCTGCTTGAAAGATTTAAAAGATAGAAGAGACTAATAGCTAAAATTGATTTTGCAAATTACTTGTAGATTTTTAAAGTGTCTATTCTAATTTAAAAATCAGTATTAAAACCCATTTGTTAGGTTTTGCTTTTCTGATCATCTTTCTTAGATAATTCAGTACCTGAGTAACAGTTTTCCTTTGTGTCCTTACCCTTGCCTTCATAATATACATGTTGTATATTAGGAGGACGTGTTGTATTGAAGGGACAATAGGCATGTTGATATTCCCCTTCCAGTTCATAGGATCATAAGAGATCCTAGAGGCCATAGTGTTCAGTGCTTTCATTGTATAGATGAGGATACTGAGGCAGAGAATTTGTGACTAGCCTATGGTCACATAGCTAGTAATTGTCTGGGGCAGAATTTGAACTCAGTTCAGCTTGACTTCAAACCCAGCACTTCATCCAACATGACACCTAGCTATCTCAGCCTCTTCACCTCCCATGAACTATGTCTTTACTCATAAGGGTTGTTATAGGTATGTCTCACCATCATCCATATCAATGCTATTTCCATCTTCCCGAGCTATGAAATTCTTTTTGTCTTATTATAGTCATCTATTCTTCCATCTTTCCTTGTGCTTCACTCCTCATAAACCCACTCTTTGTCCTTACTGTGATGTTAAGTCCCTCTATCCTTTGTTCACACAATCTATCACACCTCCTCTGGCTTTCCCATTGTTTCTTCACAGTTTTGATCCCATAGTTCATCAGTTCAACTATACTTTGTCCTCCATCCTTGAATTATTGCCATCTAGTCTTACTGCTATTCACATTCTTCTAGTCCTCAAACATACCATATACATTCTCTGTTTCTTTCTTCATGTTACTGAACACAATTGGAGGGAATCACACAACTGTGCCGACTGTGTCAAGCAAACTCATGTTATCCAATCTCAATTTTGCCATTACTGAGGTATGACAGTCTTTTTATTCTTCCCTAATTCTCCATCTCATCACTTGAAATAGCTATTCTAATCATTATTTTAATGCAAATGTTTCTACATGTCTTTCAAATCTACAAATTTAGTTCTAATCTTTCTCATGTCCCACATTACCAACTGTCTATTGGTCTACACCCTTTTCCATCTTGGATAGCCTGTCAGAATATCAAATGCAACATGTCCAAAACATTTTCATTCTCTTTCCTTCCAAATTTGCCCATCTTCCAAACTTTCCTCTTCCCTGTTCCAGCACTACATCCTTCCAGCGACCCAGGTTTAAAGCCTCAGAATCTTTCTTGACTTTTCTTTTCTCTTGCTACTCTCACACTTACCCCCATTCAGTCATTTGTCAAATCTTGTTTTTCATGCCTCCTGACATCTCTTGAATCTGCCCTTTCTGTCCACTCACATAGTCACTGTAGTTCAGGCCTTTATCATCTTCCATCTAAACTACTATAATTGGTCTCCTGGTTTCCATTTTTTCTTTTCTCCAATTCCATGTCTCTCCACACAGCTGCCAAAATGCATAAGAGTCAGACCATGATACTCTTGTTCACTGGTTCCCTGTTGCCCTGGGATAAAATACAACCGGTTTCAGCTTGGTATTTAAAACCATTCACATTCTGACTCCAATCTGCCTTCGCAACTTCGTCTCACATTACTTCTTTCTATGTATTTTCAGTTCTGAACAAACTGGATGACGACTTTCTTTGATATCAGCATTACATTTCCTGACTCTGCACAATTGTAAATCATGCTGTCTCCTAAGGGTGAAATGAATCCCCTCCTGATCTTTCTTCTTAGAATCTACATGTTCCTTCAGGGTTCAACGTACCCTGAATCCCTTCAGCTGTTAATGATCTTTCTGTCTTTCTCTCTCTCTTAAAATTTCCTTGTATTTACTTATCTGTGAGCCTGTTATATCAATCCCCCAATAGAAAGTTAGATCTTTGAGGACAAGGAGTTTCTTTTTTGAATTTGTACGACCAATATTTATCTCATTGTCCTGTACTTAATAGGTGCTTAATAACACATTTTTAAAAAATAGGCAACTAATACATAGTTATTTATAATAATAGCATTTATTTAGCACTTTAAGGTGTGCTTTACAAATATTATTTCATTTTGTGTTCTAAACAACCCTGGGAGGCAAGTGTTATTATTTTCCCAGTTTTATAATTGAGAAACCTGAGACAGACAGTGGTTAAGTGACTTGCTAGAGTCACACAGCTAATAAATGTCTGAAGCTAGCTTTAACTTCAGGTCTTCCTTACTCTAGGCCCAATGCTCTAACCACTGTACCACCTAGCTGCCTTTATCTATCTATCTATCTATCTATCTATCTATCTATCTATCTATCTATCTATCTATCTAT